AATTTTTCAGTTTTCCTCCTGTTATGATTTCTAGTTTCATGCCGTCGTGGTCAGAGAAAATACTTGGCATGGTTTCAATCTTCCTGAATTTTCCAAGACTTATTTTGTGGCCTAACATGATTTGTCCTAGAAAATGCTTCGTGTGCACTCGAGAAGAATGTGTATTCTGCTATTGTTATAATGTTCCAACCAAAATTTACTGTCTTAGCAGTGGGGGCTAAAAGATTAAGGTGTGAGCACGTTTGGTTCCTTCTGACAGCTGTGAGGAAGACTGTGTTCTATACTTCTCTTCTAGCTCTGTTGGTTTGATGGCAATCTTTGACGTTCCTTGGCTTACAGGTGTGTCACCTCAATCTCAGTCTTCATCTGTACCTGGTGCTCTCATCGTGTTGTTGTGTGTCTGTCTGTCTTTGTGCTTAAATTCCCCCTTTTTGTAAGGACATTAGTCTTATTGGATTAGAGCTTATCTTAATGGCCTCATCTTAACTAATTACATATCAATGACTATTTCTTTTTTTTTAATTGAGTTATAGTCAGTTTATAATGTTGTGTCGATTTTGGTGTACAGCACAATAGTTTAGTCATACATGAATGTACATGTATTTCAGTGACTCTGTTTCTAAATAAGGCCACATTCTGAAGTCTTGGGGGATAAGACTTCAACATATGAAATTTTGGGGTATACAATTCATCCATAACACTCTGTCCAAACTGGAATCATTGTGTAACTACTCTTCTATGATTTGCTTCTTTCATTTATTGTGGATACATTGCCATGATGGCATATACAAATTTACAGATTTGGGCATAATGCTCCATGTTATGCATTATGGTAATTTATTTAGCTACTCATTGAGTGATGAGCCTTTGGATGAATTTCTACTTTTTTTACTATTACAAACAACTCTAAAAAAAGCATGTTTATACATGCAGCTTTGTGTATGTATATTTCTTTTGAGACTGATACCTGTAAGTGGAATTAAGGAGGCAAAACTTTTAGGCATTTTATGTTTTGTTAAGTATGGCTGAATTTTCTTTTTCTCGAACTTTAGGCCTTTCTTTCTGGCTGCATATTGCCTCTGCCCCCTCCACAGTATTACACAAACACTACATGCTAAGTATTTGCAAAATTCTTTATTTCTTGTAATGTATTTTCCTTTTCCTTGTAACTTATCAATGCCCTCTACATTCCGTCTCATGGAACAGTGGGACTTCCCTGGGACTTTCCTGTGACAAGTAAACAAAGAGTAATTCTAATTTTTTCTTTTTACTTTCAATTCCCTTTACCTTTCATCTTCCCTCTACATAACACCAGAGGGAACTTTCTAAAATGCAAGTGTGATAATATTGTGCCTTTGTCCAAAAAACTTTCAGAAGTTTTTTTTTTGAAGTCAGAGTGAATTTGATATAGCTTAGCTTGGCACATAAGGCTCTCCCTGACCAGCCCTAGATCATTGCTTCTTCCTTCTCATCTACCATACCCTTTAATCCATTTTGAGTCCTGCTGAATTAGCCTCTTAGTTTCAAAAAGGCCCACTCTTTCACCCTTCCTCACCCTTGCATATCCCTTTCCTTCTGCCTGGAGGGTCACCCTTACTCTCCTACTGTCCATCTAGAAAGCTCCTTCTGTTTCTTCAATTAATTTCTTTGATCTTCAGTTTTTCTATTTAAAAACAGAGATAACAACAACACCTATATCTTGGTTTCATAATAACTCAATGAGATAATCTTAAAGTCATCATCACTTACTCAATAAGTGTTAAATCTTCTTCCTCAATGTTCTTTGTGAGACGTATTTGTAACATAAGGCATATCATTAGTGCATTTTTTTTAAAGCAGTGATTTAAGTTAATATAGTACCTGGCAAAATATGTGTTCAGTAAATGTAGAACTGAGCTGAATAGATTGGTGGAAACCAAGATATGTGATGTCGGTTACAGTCCTCTAATCTAGTGGATTGGTTGGTGGTTTGATTTTCTGAGTATTTCTTTACGTGCTCTGTGTACCCATCACTCAGTCTCAGTGGTTACCAACATTTCGATAATTCCACTGTGACTTATTCTTGAGAAAACGACCTTATCTGCATGTAATTGCTGACGCTTCTCTGCGTACTTCTCCTCAAACATCTGTTGCATAATAACTTCTGGCCCTTTTCTGGAAATAGTGGTAAAGCTTACAATTCTGTAACTTTGAAAATATTCTTTCTTCTCCTTTTTGATGACCATCTCTAGTCTGCTGGAATGTTCTTCGTCTTTGACAGTGTCTTAGTCCATTAAGACTGCTATAATGGGGGGGAGTGTATAGCTCAAGTGGTAGAGCGTGTGCTTAGCATGCAGGAGGTCCTGGGTTCAATCCCCAGTACCGCCTCTAAAAACAAGTAAATAAATAAACCTAATTACCCCCCCAAATCTCAAATAAATAAAATAACATTAAAAAAAAACTAATCTATATTTTTTAAAAACACTGCTATAATAAAAATGCCATAAACTGGGTGGCTCATACAACAAACATTTATTTCTCACAGTTCTGGTGGCTGGAAATCCAAGATCAAGGTGCCTGTAGAGCACCTGGTTCCTGGTGAGGACTCTTTTCCTGGCTTGTGCACAGCCGCCTTAGCTGTGTTTTCATATGGTGACGCTGGGGAGACAGCTCTCTGGGAACTCTTCTATGAGGGCATTGATCCTATAGGTAGGACTTCGCTCCCAAGAGCTAATCAGATTGCAAAATACTCACATTCTAATACCACCGCCTTGGGAGTTAAGATTTCAACGTAGGAAATTTGGGGCATGCTACATTCAGTCTGTGACAGCCAGGAGTCCTGAAAACCCCTTCTGAGGCTCACTAAAGGCCCTCTGATAAAAGTCTCCTTAGCCGGAGGTAAGAGCGCTGCAAACCGCTCGGTTGTTTTCGCTCATTCCTCTTGGGCTTCACTTCCCTCTCTGTCTTGCTTGCTCAGTCTTTTCTGCTGCGATTCGCCCTTGACTGCGAAGGTGGAGACCAGTAGATAAACAAGTACTTCTGTTTCCTTTTGGTCATCTGGTCAACGCTATACTTATCTCAATGATTTCTGTTGTTTTTCTATTTTCCTTGATTCTAAGACACTTAGAATTTAAAAGCATGTCATTGTTAAGGATCCTGGCAGAAAGGGATGTGACTGCCTGAGATGTTCTTAAATCAAGGCTTTGCTGAAGGCCTAGCATATGTGACTTTCTGTATACTGTATACGACCCTCTGAGTGTCTATGCAGCAATGACACAGCTGTCTATTTCAGAGCCCTCATGCTCTTGTTAGGTAACAGAATACGTTCAACTTGATCCAAGAGTAGGACATCAAAAATCTTAATTCCACTGAGTAAAATGGAGACCTAGAGCTTTATGCTCTGAGAGGCCCTTTACATTGCAGAAGGTAGCGTGAAATGGACAGAAGGGGCAACAGAGTGGGGGATGGCGTTAGAAGGCTTAAGTCTGGGTCCCCTTCTACCATGTACTTTCTCTTTGACCTTAAGGGAAGCATATGATCTAATGAGCTTCAGATTTCCAATCTGTAAAAAAAAATATGTAAGAGTTATGTAGCTGCGCTGCCACCCTGCCTGGTTGGGATAAGAACCAAATAAGGAAAGCCTCTGCAATGTTGTGGGAATTATTAGTCAAAGACAATCTGGAGTGTCTTTCTGGAAGAAGTGGGAGTGAGGAACATGCATGGCCAGAGGGAATATGTATAAAAAGAAGGAGCAAATATGGAGGGAATGTGGATCAGTATGCTTTTGCTCTGTCTCGTCTGCTGATCCCAGGAAAGCATCTTCTGAGACCATCTTTGGTTTCTGGTATGGGGCCAGAGATAGGGAGTCATGCTTATATCCAAGAAGCTGGCTCCTGATCTTTAAGTTGAAGGATAAAGCTTTTCAGGTAAGATGAAGTTCCCATGCTGAGACAGCTGTGCAGTGTCCAAGGAAGGCTGGGACCCTGAGGATTCTTCTCTCTGCTCACTCTACAGGTTGGTGAATTCTGGCCTCACATCAGGTTGTTGTCAGGCTCTGTCCTCAGTGCTCAGCGCTAACCAGAATTTCACGCACCTTTACCTCCGGGGCAACGCTCTTGGAGACATGGGGGTCAAGCTCCTCTGTGAGGGACTCCTGCACCCCAACTGCAAGCTTCAGATGTTGCAGTAAGTATCCTAGCTCGTTATGCTGATGGGAACACATGGTGGCTGAGGGGAAGGGGGTAGTTTGCGGGAAATGATGACGAGCTAACCTGTATCTGAGGAGTGATGGCGTCCTCCTAGGGTGTGGCTTTTTACAGGACCATGGGACAGCGAGGAGTTGTACTTTTAGATGGTGTAAAGGCAAATACTGGAGCTCCTTCCACCATAAATCTCTCTCCCACAAAAGGATGGGAATAGCACTCGTGTTTTAGGAAAACTTGGGGGGAGACACAGAGTTTGGGAAAAATTAATTCACAAACCGCTATTGCTAATTTAATCTGCACAACCCAGTAGCCTGGAAAAAAAAATACTCTCATCTGAAAAGGAGGGAAGAATAACCTTTTTTTTTTTTTTTGCATTTGAAACATTCCAGGCTAAGATCTGGGGGATATTTTCTCTAAATCACCTCCTTTCTTGCAGGTTAGATAACTGCACCCTCACCTCACACTGCTGCTGGGATCTTTCCACACTGCTGACCTCTAACCGGAGCCTGCGAGAGCTGAGTCTAGGCAGCAACGACCTGGGTGACCTGGGGGTGATGCTACTCTGTGAAGTGCTGAAACAGCAGGGCTGCCTCCTGAAAAACCTGAAGTAAGTGTGCTCTGCGATTTGTCTGGCAGGGCTCACGGTCTAAGGAAAAGGTGGCCAGTTTCCAAACTCCAGTGGGTTCCATTTTGTGTTCCGGGTGAGATCGGGCCTGGGCCGGTTGCAGATTTTATATGGATATACGGTATGTGTCTTGAACTACATATTCGACCTCATCCAGACTTTGAGAATAACCAAGGTTCAGTTGGGTGGGAAGGGATTTTGCATCCAGATTCCAGAAAGAAACACAAGTCGCATTGAAAGTAGCCGAGTAGAACTATATTTCTATGCAAGGTGTTGCACTTTGTAGAACTAGACCAGTCTGTGGGTCATCGTAGTTGTAAATATCCTTGCATAGTGGAGGTGTTGTTAGTCTGGTTTCTGGGGATTTCTAAATGTAAAGTGCTCCAGAAACATCAAGACTTTATAAACTTTGGTCTATCTGCAGTGTGCAGGGATGACTGGCTTCTTTCCATCATCAGACACCACGGAGGTATTCATTACCTCTCTAGTTAGAGTTTCTGAGTCAGTTTCAT